GAGCCCTTCGTTTGCTTGTTCGTCCCAGGGTGTTGGTGGAAGCGCTGCATGAGGTTATCCAGTGCTGTCTTTATGATGGTGATCTGGGTTTGGGTGCCAGGGATTCGAAAGAATACGAGAGAACGGTTTTGAACGCACCTGCACTCGCTTTTGATTAAGAATTAACACATGCACGAAGATACGACCCCCATCTCTGTCTCTCTTTACGTACACACACACACACACACACACACACACACACACACGACACACACACACACCACACACACACACACACACACACACACACACACACACACACACACACACACACACACACACACACACACACACACACACACACACACACACACACACACACACACACACACACACACACACACACACACACACACACACACACACACACACACACACACACACACACACACACACACACACACACACACACACACACACACACACACACGCTCTTGCATTATGTTTTTTTCTAGGTTACATGTAACAAGAAGTGTGACGAAACGGTGTTTGATGGAAAACAGCGAAGATTTCCGGTTGAATTCTCGAAAAGTACTCGACGAACGATGACCTCGGGAGCGCGCGGTTTAAATGTTCTACTTGTATGTTGCGTAACAGTATTGATAGCTACAACATTAGATCATAATGTTAATGTTTTTTTTACGATAGGGTCATATGCATATTAGGCATCTCGAAAACAAAAATAGTTTTTAAAATCGGAATAAATGTAAGGCACATTATATGCGACGACATTCCATTACAAAATAAAATTTGGTTAAAAGCAGATTGGAGCAACGCGCGGGCTTTTTAAATCACGAGGGAAAGGCCAGGACGGTCGGTTATTTCAAAAGTTCTTCCTATGGCGGGGGATTTACACCTGGTCGGATGCAAGTGTTTATTTAGTCCTCGAGGCTGGGAATTTCGTTTCCTAATTACAGTTCACGAGGATACACGTGTACACATACAGACACTCACACGGCCAGAAGTCATTATGGCACAGGGAAGAAAGGTGTGAATGAGGAAGGACAAATTCGCAACACAAGACATTTACGAGTAACTGGCGCACATCCCCAGAACTGCAGTTCTGTTGCACACGCACGTACACACACACACACACACACAAACAAACAAAAAACACATACATATACATATATTTGTATATATATATAAATATATGAATATATAAATAAACAAATAAATAAATAAATTATATATATATATATATATATATATATATATATATATATATATATATATATATATATATATATATATATATATATATATATATATGAGAATGAACTGAAAGAGAAAAACGAGGTATTTATGCAATATATAATATATATATATATATATATATATATATATATATATATATATATATATATATATATGTGTGTGTGTGTGTGTGTGTGTGTGTGTGTGTGTGTGTGTGTGTGTATATATATATATATATATATATATATATATATATATATATTGCATAAATACCTCGTTTTCTCTTTGAGTTCATCCTCATCGTAAGAAGCGATGGGCACAGTACATTTAAATATTGTAAAGCAGTAACGATTGACATCGACAAATACAAATGGGAAAATCTCTCGGTTGGGCGCGAGGCACGAAGCCGACAGTGACAAATGAGAAGTGTAGAATTGTCAAACCTGTTTTATAATATATAGTAATAATTATGTATGGCCACGGCATTGGGGTCAGTGAATAGAGAAACTGCCAATAAACGAGGACGTAGACCGGGTGAAGTATAGAGGTGTTTGGAGCCTAGGAAATGCGGGAATCCTGAATCCCGATTTCAAAAAACGATGAGGTGGGGGGGGGGGGGAGCCTCATAAGGGAAAGGCAGAAGACACGTAAAAAGATGAAAGAGATTACCACAGTTTCCCCCCCACATCAACCGCGGATCATACTTGCAATGCTTTATATAACACGAAGACCTATTACAGGGTCGGAATCCATTTGATCAGTGGCTCGAATTCATTAAAAAAAATTCTTTTGCACTGGTCAGTTAATCCCGTGCAGGATGACTGCCTTTGGGAAGCTTTACCAGTTATTATGCAAGAAGTCTTATAGGGATTCACAGCGCCACAGCTGCGACGGCGCGCGGGAAAGGAATCCCACAACGACGTAAACATTAAGCGTGAGCGTGAATAGCGCTGCGGCGTGGACTCGGTTAGCGAGACCTTGGCAAGGACATGTAATAAACATGCAGGAGGTTATGTATTATGTATATCACGTTTATAAAACGAGGTCACATATTGGAGTGCAATACTTGTGTAATAATGATGTAATGTGTTATACATGTCGCTTACATAAAAGGGAGAACGCAGTATTATGTTTGGTATTGAGTAAAAAACAACAAAAAAACAAACACGCTCGGAAGGGAATCGTAGACAAGTGAACCAACAGAATACTAGGAACGTTTTAAGGCACAAGGTAACAATCATACGAATAACCAAAGCGCGAACAAATCAGTGGTAGACATAAACATTAATCAGATGTACAAACAACTCAGAATATGAGTGGTTCAACAAATATTAAAGGTAATCGAAGACCGCAGATAAAAGCGTATCACCGAGAACAGGCTGGTAAATGACAACAGCAAATAGAATGGAATGTTTATGCAGCCGCAAATTACCGAGTACCTACTACGCGAAGAGCAAACGCATGCATTCACATAGTTCAAATAAACGTAAACAGAGGGAAAAATATGTGGCGAGGAAAGACCACCATATGCGAAACCCAGTCCTTTTCTACTGCTGATTTTGATTGCCCGGTACTTTGAGTGGATCAGCGCGCGGCCGTGCACCCAACGCACGCCGAAGAACTAGAAAGAATAGACGTTCTTTATGTCGCGCAAAACGAGGCCAGGAAAGAAGGTCACGAGGGAAAAGAGTGGAAGAGTAAGGAAGAAAAGGGAGAATTATTAAAAGAAAAAAAAAAAAAAAACACACACAAGAAAAGAAAAAATGGCCTTATAAAAGACAAGGGGAATATTTCGAAGTCGTAAAAGAAACGGTGGAAACACGCGAAGCAGAAGACGAATTGTAAAAAAAAAGGGAAAATGAAAAGAGAAGGACAAAGGGCGGTACACCTGACCCAAGCTGACCTGAATCTCCCCTCAGGAGTCCTCGAGAGAGCCCTCAACGCGGCCTCGGAGTTCTTTGGTCGTGTCGGCTTGGAGGGACTTCCAATTCCGAATGTTTTTTGGCGCTATGGCGTGTTTGCGGCTGCTGGTGTGCAAATGAGGCGTCGCTGGTAATATAGTATATAGTATATATACTATATAGTAAGTAGAGGTAATTGTGGTATGTGAGAATCATCAAAAAATATTGTTGCTGGATATTTGTGTGATGGATGAACGCATGAAAAACAAAACGGTAGATACAGTTAAAAACCGCAAAAAATAGAAACCTGAAACCGCGCTGGCTCCTTTCTTTTTGTCTTGGCTTCATCCACGTTGTTGGTAATTGTCAATCGTTGTCATTTGCTGCATTGAAGCTGTCACTTCATACTAGGGAAAGGCGTGCGTCTCTGAAGGTAGCGGGGTTTATTGAAATTCTGAGTGATTTATATTGCCTTTTGAACTCTACAGCCTATTGGCATCTCTCATTACATATCATCATCGTCGTCATCGTCATCATCATCGTCATCGTCATCGTCATCGTCATCATCGTCATCATCATCGTCGTCATCGTCATCGTCATCATCGTCATCATCATCGTCATCATCGTCATCGTCATTCATCGTCATCATCATCGATCGTCATCACCATCGTCATCATCGTCATCGTCATCGTCATCGTCATCGTCATCGTCATCGTCATCATCAGCGTCATCATGATCATTATCGTCATTATCACCATCACCATCACCATCATCATCATTATCAACATTGGAGTGGGGAGATAAGTGAGAAGTAGCAGCCTAGAATGCAGCAATAATAACCAGTATTTTTTCGAGTGCTTGTTTACGTGCTTCATTCTGCACCGGGTCAACATTTTTTTCCTTAATGCCTTGTGAGTGAAAGCCGTTACGACGCGACCGAAGGCTAGTGTCACCCGAGAGCCCAGCGCGTGCAGGCGTCTAGAACTTAGGTGATTGGACGTTCTTTGTCTTTTCGAGAGATGCTGCCTCTTCCTTTCATGAAACGTTGGAGGAAAAATGGCGTTTTGATTACTTCTAATTTCGTGGTTGCGTATCGATTTGTATTGTTTGTCTTTCTGTCTTCCGCTTCTCTCCGCTATCCGCTTTTACTCTTCATTCTCTACCCTCTCCCTTCCTATCTCAATTCTTCCCTCTTATTCTCCATCCCCCCTTCATTTCTTCTTTATATCTGCTCTTCCCTGTCCTTTTCTTCTCTCACTCCATTCCCGCCTCATTTCTCCTTTATATTCTTCTTCTCCCTCTCCATTCCCGGCTCATTTCTCCTTTATCTTCTCCTCCCCGTCCTCTTCTTCTCCCTCTCTATTCCCGCCTCATTTCTCCTTTATCTTCTCCTCCCCGTCCTCTTCTCCTTCTCCATTCTCTCCTCATTCCTCCTTTATCTGCTCTTCCCCGTCCTCTTCTTCTCCCTCTCTTCTTGATTAAGGTGGACACGAAGCCACACGACCGCGTCTCGCAAGATGGTCATTGGCCTTTCTGCCGCCCTCTTCGGTAACGGCTCGAGGAATGTTTTTAGCCAAAAGAGGAATTCTCATTGGTCTGCTTCGTAAGACTTCGTTTGTTTTATCGATTCCGTTGCCTGCAGTGCGACTTCGCTTGCAATTACCCAGATTTTGAGTTGGCAATATTTTGTTATATGTTTCGGATGTTGCTAAATATTTTATTTGTTTTGGAGGTTGCTAAATATTTTATTCGTTTTGGAGATTGCTAAATATTTTATTCGTTTTGGAGATTGCTAAATATTTGATTTGTTTCGGAGATTGCTAAATATATAACACTGTTTCGTTCCACAAATGTATAGAGGTA